GATAAGACATCAAACAATGACAATTAGTTGAAGTGGTAGGTTGCCCCCTACAATTACAGTGACTTCCATCCAGTCAATGATAGCAATCCACTTTTTACTACTTTCATACTTTCGTCCACCTTCTTTAACAGCGGCATCAACGGCATCTCCAACAAAATTGTAAACCTAAGATAATGGGTTATTTCGATATAAGGGATTTAAAGAACAAAACTAACCGAAGAACGTTCGACGAAGGCAAATATCAAAAAGCCAAGTGTTGCAAAACCCATAAGTAGGACAATAATTGCGTGCTGAAAAGTGAAGGAAAGGCAATTTTACTAGAAGTTCACCACCTACCGCAAGGAGAACATTTGCATTCGTCCGGAGTGCTCCGAATAGGCCTAAGAACGCAACAGCAATTATGAAAACGCCAAACACAATGGCGGCAGTCGCAACGGCGGGCGAAATTGTCAGAAATTCGTCTTCGAGTGGACTGTCAAATGGACCAGATCAAGGATTCCCAGGATAACGAGAGCCAAACCAAAGACCTGAAGGGAGAAGATAATGAAAGAGATGGGTTTAAATTAAGCAAATATATTCCATGTAGTTGATATTTTTGGACTGGCAGCCCACCTACCCGTAAAGCGCGCATCATCATGCTGCTTCAAGCTGCCGTTCTTGGCCCTATTCGTAAATGTACATCAAATTACACAATATGCTTTAAAACTAAGGCTCGAGAGGGTATTAATTAGAAAGTCGGGTAAAATAGATTGCAGTTTATGGGAGCGGAACTTACAAAGGAGAGGATACTGCAAGCTGCAACGACGGCTTTAATTATTTTCGAAGTAGTTGACAACCCCGCCATTATAAGAAATCTTAACACCAACAAAAGCCTTGGGCAATTTATGAACCTTCCGTTATATAGGCTTCCCATCACAGACAAGTATTAGTTTGTGCTACAGAATTGGCGTCGACCGATTGGGATCGACCCGCACAGTAATGCGTTGAAAATGTTTTGGTATATATGAAGTGTCATCCAGGTCTACAGGGATACATCCGATTTAAGGCAGGGCAGGAATACCGCCTTCCAGTAAAGTGCACATCTTGCTGCTGTTTCAATAAGATGTTTCGGACGTGGTGCTTACGTACATCAAATTACCCAATATGCTTTAAAGTAAGCCTGGACACAGTATGAATTAAAACCACCTAAATATATTATTTGTAACTGGTAATGAACAATGCGCAGGGATCCCTTTAACCAACAGGCATTGT